GGGGCCGCCTCCATCTCCAGTTCATCCCAGCAACCCCCCAACGATGGTGAGTACACGGCGGGGGGAGCGCAGGGGCCGCGCAGGGGGTCAAGGGATCAGACAGGAACCAGCGGAAAAACTCCGCTCCCCGCAAGCCTGTCCCGCACCCGCGTTAATGCCGCGGGAAGCAAAGGAAGGTAACAAGTCCTTCCCTGGAGGTCAGACCTAGAGCTCCGCTGTGTCCCCAGGGTCACTGGCCGCAGCGCTGCAGGGGGGGGGGGGGTTCCTCCTCCGGGAAGGAGGGCAGGGGCAGGGAGGAGACCTGAGTTTCGCTTCCACACATCCCACTTACTCCAGGGTGGGCAGAGGTGAAGCCGGCGAAACACGCCGCCTCCAGCCCCACGAGCAGTTTGGGAACGGTGAGGGGAACTCGCTGGAGAAACCCCGCAGCGCAGGGGTCTGGCCCCAACCGTCCCGTACATTTTTCTTTGCAGGAAGCAGGCACGAACAGCGGGCGCGTTGTCCGCTTCGTCTGCTTCCATGGGTAGAGCCCACCGTCCAGCTGGGAGATCCGGGATCTGAGGCTTCAGCTCTCTCCCCCCGGTCGCACCGTCTGCCCGCCCCGCGCCGGAGGAAGCCGCGGGGTAAGCGGAGGCCTTACCTGCTTCCCAGCTGGGGTGGGACACTTCCGCCGGGGAGGAAGAGGAGCTCTGCTCTTCTCGGCGTAGTGTTTCATGGTTGGGAGGTACCAAATAACTCCCGTAAAACGCTGTCCCGGGTATGCTCTGCTTCACGCTGCCGCCGGGACAGGAATTTTGGTATTTCTGCAAAATCCCTACTGTCTGTCTTGTCCAAAATGACAAAATAAACGATGCCAAGTCTACCTTGGAGAAGTTTCTTTGGGGGGCGGAAGGCCCAGGGGAGGTGTGGGAACAGGGCGAGCTTCTCCCGCCGGCCTTGGGGAGCCCCTTCCCACGCAGTCACACGCTCTGAAGCCCCTCATTTCAAGTTCATCAGCGGGGTCATTTCACCAGGGTGATGACTTCAGGAGTCTCAGCAGCACCCGAGCAGAGAAGGCGTTCACCTCCCCGGGGAAGCCAGGCCAGGCTGCTGGGACTTAAAAATATCAGTAAAATACCGACCAGGGTCTGTTCAGTCCTCTGAAACGGCTGCGGCCAAATTGCCCAGAGAGATCCAAGATTTTAAAGCCTTCATAAGCTCTTTCAGCAACCGGACAGAATTCCAGAAATAAGCACCCCGTCCCCACACCGCAGAGTTTCTGTTGGCAAAGAAACAAACCCGACTGGGGGAAAAAAAGGTGCTCTGTTTTATTAACTAAAAGTGCCATCAGCCCGATGTCGGGGAGAGGAGGTCCCCACTGCGTAGCCCAAGGCACAGGTGAAAAGCAGACACAAAGCTGGCGGACGCGGGGCTGGTTTATCCCCATTTTTGCTCTGCCTTCCTGAGGTCAGAGCTGAAGGTGCTTCTCCATCTGCTCCCTCAACTTGTATTTCTGAATCTGGAATAAAGCGCAGAGAGGAGGAGAAGAGGCTCAGACAGGAGATGGGACAGGAGGCCAGGGCTCCCGCCCTGCCCCAGCCCCTCTCTTACCTTGCCCGAGACGGTGAGCGGGTACTGACCCAAAAACACAACGTACCGCGGGATCTTGAAATGGGAGATCTGGGAAGAGAAAACGAACGCTACGCAACCTGCTGGGAACAGTGGAGCCAGCCCGGCTGCTACTGCCCAAGCCGGGACTGCCCGGGCTGATCCCCAGTTGGTCTAAATCCCTGGGCTTTCAGCTGCAAGTCCCCAGCAGCTGCTGGGCGTACTGGTGTGGCAGGGAACTGGGAGACCCACCTTCCCTTTGCAGAAAGATTTAATCTCGTCCACGGTGCAGTCCTGCCCGGCCCTCACTCGGATGCAGGCGCAGATCTCTTCTCCCATCCGCGAATCCTTCACGCCAACCACCTGGTTGGGACAGACGGGTGGTGTGACCCCCGGGGACAGCCCTCTCCCCCCGCGGGGTGTGTGCACTGGCCCACGCCCACATCACGGGATGCTGGAAACGTGGCGTGGGGCTGCGTAAAGGCAGCTGGAGCTGCTTGACCATCCCACTGGTGCTTTCCACGCGACACCAAGCCCTCCTGGAAGGACTTCCCAACCGTTTGCCAGAGGAAAGCTGGCAAAGCAGGCCGGGCACGCAGACACCAGCGCTTTCCTTTGGTTTTGGAAAGTCACTGGAGCGAGGGCTGAGTCAGACCAGCCGGGCAGCAACTCGTCGTGGGTGCAGCAAGGACCTCTGTGTGCCTCTGCTTCCCCAAACAATGGCGCAACAAGTTTCACAACCAACAGCGAGACCCGAGAGGCTGCTTCCAGTGCTTTGGGATCTCCAGATGAAACAGCAAGAGAGGGATGAAGTTGAATTAAAGCATTATTTGAAACCCTTGTAACAGCAGATCTTAGTGGACTGCTGCCTGTGACACCAGGAGCCGGGCTTCCCAAGCCTGATTTCTGTCTAAAGTTTGCTCACGCTATTTCACAAGACTCCTACTGTTACTCCCCACCTTGAACCGGTATCTCGAAATCCTAGAGACACGTCAATCCTTCTGAGTCCAGAGCACTGACAGAAAGCCCTAGAAACTACATAAACAGGGCTGGTTTGCAACCCATCTGCACTGGGACTGTTCCAAGGAGAGACGCTAGCCTGGCACCGGCACAACACTGACTAAATAACTGGTTTATTTATGGGGAAAGTTGTCTGGCACAAAACGTGGAGGAGAACAATCCCAGCAGGTTGGGAGCAGCTGCTCAGTGCTGCAGATCATTGCTGTCTTGTGAAGGGGTGAAACCGAGTCTCACTCCTCATCCCCAGGGACTCACTGGAGGAGTCATCTTGGATTTAGGAGTTTAGTCATTGATTATCAGTAAAAACTGTGCTTCCAGACTGCTTTCTAAATAAGAATTTCACAGAGAGCTATGAAAGCAGACAGGCAGTTTAAAAACTGAAGAAGAATGACAGTCACTGCTTTGCAGACATGAAGCTGCTGCATGAGGGGCCTGCCTGAACCGATGTGCCCCACGCCAGGAGCTCTGCCTGCCCTGTCCGTGCCGTGAGCCTCTCCCTCCTGCTTGCCAGCCAGTATTAATGAAACGAGACGCTGAAAACAGGAAGACAACCAGGTCCCAAGCAGCAGTCCCAGTAGCTTTCTGTACAGGTTTCCCACCACAGGAACCACTGCTGCTCACCCCCCCCACCTCCCTCCTGCTCACCTGGACCTCCTCAACCTTGGGATGGGTGTGGAGAAACTGCTCAAGTTCTGCTGGGTAGATGTTCTCTCCTCCCCGAATAATCATGTCTTTGCAACGGCCTATGATTTTGCAGTAGCCGTGCTCATCCAGGATCGCAAGGTCCCTGCAACGACAGCACGCTCCTAATCCTGTCCCCGCTGGGGGCAAGAAGGGCTGAGGCTCCCACCCAGCCTGGTCTGGAGGCCCCGTCAGGGCATCGGGAGGGTAATGGCTGAGATGCCACCTCAGCACGTGGAAGAGATCAAAAGAGCTCCTTCTACAGCCAGACATTGCCATTGGCAGCGTCCATGCAAGCAGCAGGGCTCAGGGAGAGACAAGGGCGAATGGCTCTAAATTAAAAGAGGGCAGATTTAGATTGGATATTAGGAAGAAATTCTTCACCATGAGGGGGTGAAACACTGGCCCAGGCTGCCCAGGGAAGCTGTGGCTGCCCCCTCCCTGGCAGTGCTCAAGGCCAGGTTGGATGGAGCTCTGAGCAACCTGGGCTGGTGGAAAATGTCCCTGCTCATGGCAGGGGGGCTGGAACCAGATGAGCTTTAAGGTCCCTTCCAACCCAAACCATTCTGTGATTCTGTGATTCCTGCCCCTGCGGTGCACCTCCACAGCCCCTCCACCACGCCAGTAGCGAAGCGGCTGTCCCCGTCTCCAGGGGCACTCGGCACCGAGGGCTCTGTGCTAAGAGCTGTTCCGAAGCTTCATGGAGAGATCAGGCTGTTTCCAGACTCACCCCGTCTTGTACCACTTCTCAGCAGTGACCACTTCGCTCGTCTTGGCGGGGTCCTCCCAGTAGCCCAGCATGACGCAGTAGCCGCGGATCTTAAGCTCTCCAGGAGCGTTCAGAGGCACAGAATTCCCTGTTTCTGGATCCTCAATTTTTGCCTGCAATTCAAGAGAAGAAGGGCTTAGGAGGGGATCTCCGAGCCAAACGTGATGGCACGCCCCGACTCCAGCACCAGACAGGCCAAGGTCTGCTGCAGGCAGAAGACCTGGAGCAGGTGGGGAGGGTCACGGTCACCTCAGTGTGGGGAAGGACGCATCCCACCGTCTCGGTTTTTCTGGTGATGCTGTCACTGGGGAATCCCATGAAGGTGACAGGGCTGTTTTCCGTGGTCCCATAGGCAACCTGCAAACACAAGAGAAGAAACGTGCCTCAAGGGTAAAGAGGACCGCACAGCTCCAGGCACAGGAAAGATGAAGCCAGTGATGAGCACAGGGGAGAGCAGGGCGAGAGGAGGATGTTCTCGCAAGTCACTCAGGTCACGGGCAAGCACTGCTCTCCTGGCCCGTGGATGGGGCTCTCCAGACACTCCTGCCAGAGAGTCCAGGAGGCAGGAGCTGAAGCAGCAGCTGCCTGTCCAGCAGCACCTGCCTGTCATGGCCACCTTCGCTTCCATCACTGTGCTCCAGACCCCCACCACCCACGACACTCTGGGTGTCAGGTACTTTTGACACCCCAGCTACTTTTCTTGGAGGACCCCAGGGTTTGCCCTCCTCTTTTTTAACCTATGTCTCTCCAAGCCCTGTCCTGTTGACTCTCTACTATCTCTTCCAGACACCGATCTTGCCTTGGTGTCCTTGCAGACATCTGAACTACTGAGTTCACCTTGCATCTTCTACAGCTTAGGGCACGTTGGACATCACTCAGAAAAACCTTGGAGCCAGCAGTGGGCTCCTGTGGGAGACCACATGGCTGCTTGCTCCAGATCCTTTTGTGCAGACCTCAGCTCCTGTAACCCTCGTGAAGGCATCACGAGGCTGCACAGCGCTCAGCGCAGCTGCACTTACAGACCAAAAGCCTCACAGCAGGACGAAAGCTTCTCGCTGCTAAACCTCCCTCACCGCTAATCCCAACGGCAGGCTCTGAGTCACCTCAGCTGAAGGTCACTTCTCCTCGGAGGAAAATTCCAGCTCTTTACGCCCAACTCGGTGGCCTGCTGAGACAGCAGGAGCTGGGCAGGAGGTGCTCTGGGCAGCCCCGAGCTGCCCTGGCAGCACCATTGCTGGAATTGCTGCTTCGCCTCTGGCTCTTGTGAGCTGTGTTTCAGCAGCGGGACGTGCTCTGGTCTCTCTAACCCATCCAGCACGTTGCGTGTCATCAGGCAGGGTTTCTCTCCCACCCACTAATGTCACCGGTGGCTGCTTTGCTGGCAGAGCATGGCTGGGAAAGGGCTGATGCCGTTTGGTCCTTTCTCCTCCACATCTTCAAAGGCTGACACCTGAGCAGCTCTGACCCACCAAACTGCAACAGGACCCAACGATCTTCCTACGGCCTTGGCACCCAGATCTGGGTTGTGCCTTCAGAGCAAACGCCCGGGCTCCACCGCTGGCTGCAAGGGCAGGTCTGCTCGGTCAGAGGTTCTGCACGGTGCTCACCAAACTCCAGGCACTGCGCCCAAAATGAACACGGGGCTTTGCAAAGGACTA